AATCTAAAAGATTATTGACTCGTAACCTGATACTAAAAGCTTTCGCAATCGCTGAGAAAGCGTTGTAAAAGCTTGAAAAAGGCGAGTATTCAATAATGGGTCCAGCAGCTCCCTACTGCAGATGAAAAACCAGACAAAGTTTCGTTTACTCTAGTGCATCCTTCAGGAAAGTGCCACTCAAAAGTACATGCATGTCACACGAGCAGCATGCTCCGGAAATCAACAGCGTTAGAGCACTTTCAACAATTACATGCCATAGCAGAAAAAAAAGCCCTCCAATCTGTGTGCTTGCTCACTGTGCTAGAGTTCACAAGACCGCATGCATATGCTCTTAAAGAGCACAAAGTTTCACAGAGAGACTGACTAAGCATCTGCTATTTACACATCAAGCATTGACGCAAGCATCGCAGATGTTCCGGGAAAACTGAAACATACTGAAGACGCAGAAATTGACAGCTCGGAAAATAAAAAACGGCAATGGCAGCCTCGGAAAATCAGCCAGACGCCTGAGCAGCTCGATTCTCAAAGTGCTGCGTTAGCTAGCATATTGAAAAAGTGCTCAAGGGAGTAATTTGAACCGACATAATTAGGGCAGGTAATTTTTTTCAAAAAGTTCACACTCTGTCCTTTCAATGTTCATATTGTTAGCATTCAATGAGATAACAATATAGTGACATTCTTCTTCCTTATTCAGTTGTTCCTTAAGCATAATTTGATTATTTGCATTTAAATTGTTTTCGTAGAAAAAATATTTTAACAGACTGAAAAGAAGGGATGCGAAAACATTAGACAGAGGGAGAAACACCACCATCACTAACCAATATATACCATATCTTGAATCTAATTATATCCATCCTCATTTTCGCTTTCACTCCATTTTTATCTACCCACACCCCCGCTAAAACGTACTTACATATGGAAAGCTAGATTTTCTGACGACTTCAAACAGCGGGGTTAATAAGACACACAAACATATTTTTCAACCAATGCAAAATACAGCTATCGTACTGATGATGGAATTTTCCTCGTGGAAAGCACATAGTCGCTACACTGGAATAATAATATCATATTCCACGCAAAAAGCCATCTGAATATTGCAAGCACAGGCACTGCAGAAACAAATGATCAAAAAAAATTACTAACTTCCGAGGAAATTGCCTGACGAGCTGACGAGCATGAGTGTCTAACTCAACACAAAAGAAACTTTTCCAAAATCAAGAAAAATCAAGCGGAAGTAGACGGGTTCCTCAGAATTCACGCTGTGAGGAAAGTGGTAACAAAAATACTGTCGATTGCTGGTATAATGCGTGACTTCCCTCACCTTTGCGACATGGCAAAAAAAGCAGAAAAAGAAAAGCCACTCCCTTCTTTTCGTTTTATTTTTTCACAGACAAAAACCATCGTAGCGCTAACACTCAAGAAAGATCAATAAATATTTCGTTGCGAGGACGACTTGCAGCTGCAGGTGGATATAAATGGCAAGAAATTTTCTGCAACAGATACATAGTCGACACACATTCTTGCACAGAACAAGATTAGCCAATATGTCGCTTTCTCTAAATACAAAAAAAGTAATGCCCTAGGCGATGAATGCCAGCATAGCAACGCTTTTTTTTCTTATTAGAAAAGTTCTTTTTCGACCACTGACGATAATGACGAAATCGAATGCAAAGCGTAACTGCCACAGCCCAATGAGTCGTAAATAAGATTTCTAATTAGACGTAGAGATTAGGAAGTAATTGCTTGTTGATTATATGAAAACGCAAAAGCTGTGAGTGATACTTTTGCCTCAGCTGCGACTTGCAATGAAATGCAGACATAAACGTACGTTAAAATGTTATTCGAGAACCAAGGCACAGCTATTTTCTATGTAGGTAATGGATAGCATAACTGCATAGAACGTATGACTGCACAGCTATGCAGATTAGCCTGCGGATATGACGTACGGTCAGCAATAGGGCATATATTTTTACCAAAATCAAATTCATAGAGATGTAAATTTGCGGTTATTGTAAAGATATGATAAAATCATTCGAACATGCAAGCACTAGAAAAGCTTTAAAAAAATTTGTTTTCAACCTGATAAAAAACCTACGTGGAGCTTAGGCTGAGAGAACAATGAGATAGATAGCCTATTCAACTTTCTTCAATTGTTCTTTACACTTAATTTAGCCCAGTTTTCTTTGCAATTGTAGACTAAGTATCTAAGCATTGCGCATTCAAACCATGGGACAAACTTTGTAATGCGAAGCACAAGATTCTCAAAATATACGAATCAAATAGATGTATTTCATTTCTGAGAAAATGGAAAAAAATTCCTCAGATGGAGAGTAGTTTTTACATGTTTTGAAGTAAAAAAATCTGATAAAAACGGCGAGTTTATATTAGGCCAAAATAGGCTGCTCGTAAAAAATTTCGAAGAATGGGCCAGACTTTTCTTCAAAGAAATGAGGCTGTGGTGGTAATGGCTGAAAAAACTAGAGAATTTTTTTCATTGTTTTCTGAATCAGAATCAATAATCAGAATCAATCGAATGCCCTACCAAATTTTTGCATGAAGAGGTGATCATTTTGCGGCAATCAGGATGTTGTTCGGAATTGCTTCACTTCTGTAATGGTAATTCTGCCAATACATACACACTATGGGAAAGGATCTGACAAGGTATGACGTCATTCTGAAGGAGTTATAAAGGGTTTTTGGTGCAATGGATAGTGGCTTGTACTGCGGAGCTGGACGTCGTAGGTTCGATTCCTCTGGGATGCCACCCGTTTTGCATTTTTGTGAATTTTAGCAGGCAAGTTGCAAAACCTGTCAACATCAAAAAAAGTTAATTTTTACAATATGAAGCAATATATTTACATTTAATGGCACTGAACCACCGTCTAGCCTAAAAACACTCGGTAAGAGATGACCAATTGTGGACAGAACATTGCAGTTGATTAAAGGCAGCGTACACCCAAAATTTGAGTTATCGAATTTCCTAGATCTTTCTACACCGTGTATATACTGGGCCCAGAAGAAGACCAAATGCGTTAGTCCGGTCTCCCAATGTTGCTTCTGAGCGGAGAAAACCCCCCTCAATTTTCTTTCACGCCGCCCTTTTTCTTTCGCTCCGCCTCCTCCGGACGAATCCATAACAGCGTAAGCTGCAATTGCAGTTGCAGTTGCTGTTGCAACATCTGCTGCAGTTGCTGTTGCATTTGTTTTGGGTGTACGCTGCCTTTAACATATTGTGCATCAAAAAATCGATAAAACGAAATCGGAGTTTTTCAATGTAAAATTGAGTAAAGTATTTAATGAAAAAAGCTAAAAACGAGTGTTTTTAGGTTAGACGGTGGTTCAGTGCCAATAAATGTAAATATATTGCTTCATATTGTGAAAATCAACTTTTTTGACGTCGACAGGTTTTGCAACTTGCCTGCTAAATTTATAAAAATGCAAAACGGGTGGCATCCCAGAGGGATCGAACCCACGACGTCCAGCTCCGCAGTCCAAGCCACTATACACTGCACCAAAAATCCTTTATAACTCCTCCAGAATGACGTCATAGCAGGTATGGAATACGGTTTAGAGATCACCGTGTGGCGGTATACGCGGTATACACCGCTTACCCAATCGTCACTGCGATCAAGTATCCTTCCCTTGTGAGCTCACAGCTCACTCATGTACTTGGATGCTATTAGAATAAAGTTAGGCGCAACTCTGGAGCGACCTTAATTGGTGTCAAGACCATTATGACAGCTGTGGTCTGAATGATTTGTAAAGCTATGATTTTGCCAGTTGAGGTAGATCTCCAAAATTGTGCGGCATGATTGGAAACATGAGCGAATTTTATTAGGTCGGTCCGATACTGGGATCTGTCTGCAAAGCTAAATCTAGAAAGAAATTCGCTATGAACTCTCAAACATGGGAGAACAATTTGTAAGAATTTACTGCATACTTCGATTAAACGAAAGGAAGAGTCTTCAAATTATCCATAGGTTTTCTTTTGCTTTTTTTGCCTAAGAAGCTGAAATACTGCGTGCAAGTGTTCCTTATATAGCTTCGTTAAGTTTCAAAACTGTCCCGACATTTTAACAAAATTTTTGCTATAGATAGATCTCACCGTGAGACCAGCGTATCACACTTTGAGACTAATAACAGCTGCTGTATCCGAACACCACCAGAAACACCAAATTATGAGATTTCAAATAACCATCATTTTAACTTCTAAGCGTATGACTACAACCCTGCGGTATGGCGCTACGGCCGACAAAAATGTCAGTTCAAACATTTACAACCGCATAAAAATTCTGGATACATGGTTCGGAGTTCTTCTCACGGGACTCACATTTTTGACAATATGACCAAAAGTTGGGTCGCAGATCTGACAGCGCAAAAAATGTTGGTTCTCTGGTTGAGTCAGTGTGTGCTGCTAATAAATGTACGTTACAAAATTTTCTCACTCCTGTGCAAACTCACTGCCATAGCTCAAATTTGCAAATAAATCGATAAAATCAATATTGACGAATCACAAAAAGCAGCTTACGATACCCGCCCCGGCAAGACGTGTATGTGCGCAGAGTTGGTCCGGACAGAATCAGAAACGGAATTTTCTATTCGGAATATATATTGACACAGACATTCAGCTCTATTTATATAGATTCTGCTTAGACCTGCAGTAGAAAAACAACGGAGCAAGATCAAAAGAGCAAATGCAGAGGCAGACGGCGCTGGCATTAGTTGATTAGGCGTGAATATGATATTTCGATGGCCCTCATAGCCGGCTTGAGAGAGTGCAAATACAAGAACCGACAGAGCTGTCAAACGTCGCAAACAACGCCGTTGACAGTAACAGAGGACAATTTTGAGAAGGGTTCGGAGACGGTTTGTATCCACTTGACCAAAATTCATCAGATCCGAAAAAGTGTACACTCACTAGAATCTTCTTGACGCAGTAACTGAAGAACCTTCCTAATCCCTTGGAGTTTGAATAGAGGGAAAAAGGCGTAACTGCCCACCTTGATTTTTTCAAAGTGTGTTTTCAAGCAGGGGCAGCGGAAGCCATAAAAACCGAATGGATTTCAGATTCCTCGAGGTACTGCAAACAACTGTTCGATCGTTTGTTTCCGTGATTCCTAGAAAATATAGAACTTGCCTGGAACTTGCCGGAAGCTTGAAACACTTTTCTCCACAAGGAACGGCCTTCAAGTAAGGTGTATCTCCCAAAATTGTCATGTGAACCATCAACGAGGCTGTCTTTCGATTGTTCTAACATGTCAACTTCGAATAAGCGCCTCAAATTTGTGGAGTTAACGTGTTAAGACGATCGAAAGGCAGCCACGGATGGTTTAAAAGGGAACAATTCTGGGGAACGCATGATACTAGGTAGGTAACTGTTCGTTCTTCCACATATCGATCAATAAGTGATGTGAATATAGAGGCGATTCATCGCACGCAAAGAAAGGCCGTCGCTACGGACACGTCGGCGTTTTATTGGTCGAGCGTTATCATACCTTGCCGTCTGCTGTCTCTCGTATGGCAAACTGTCTCAGTCGAGTGCAACAACGTCCATCTGTGCGCGATGAATAGCTTATATGAGTTTTGATAGTACATAGCAAAAAATCACAAACGCGACAGAACTGTGTGCAAAAAATCACAAGTTCACTGTGTTTGATGTGCTCCGGGAGCATGGACCATGCGCGCCGGCTAAATCCGCGCTGGGTCATGGAAACGATTAAGTCTACACATGGCGCGCTTTGCGCAGCCATGTGTAGATTTAATACATTGACGCATACCTTCGATAGTCTAGAGACAGGGCGTCAAAAGTGAAGGTTGTTTAAACATCTGACGTCATAAATAGTGAAGGTTGTCCAAAGAAGATCAGAGATGAGAAAATGACGTAAAACGGATATAAAAAGCAAAAGAAACGGCTGAAAACCGGATAAAAACGCTGCAAAAGGGTTTGAAATATTTCAATTGGCGGCTTTCAAAGTGCAAGTTTTCGCTTCGACCAGCAATTCGCAACACGGGGTCTTGATTTTTGATGCGTCCTGTGAATTTTTACCCCCGCATTGACGTTCCTGTTTCCTGGGACGTTGTCTGGATTGTTGCGCTTATTGTTCTGAGCAACAATCGCCCAAGCTGGAAAAAATCGCTGCGAAAGCACTGAAACAGAACAAGGTAAAGAAAAACGCACTTTTTACGATTTTTCGCAGAAAATTCTACCATAATCGAAGAAGTAAGGGCTGGGTGGTTGTCTGCATTATGAGCAGAAGCAAGATCTTCAGAATGCACGAAAAAACCGCGTGAAAAGAGTTAAACTACAAGAAAAACAAGAGATTTTCAAAAACAAGGTTTTTGCCGGATTTCTCGATCAAATCAAAGAATGTGGTTCTGGGACGTTGTCAGCGTGAAAATAGAGATCAAGAGCTTCAAAATGATATATAGCTTGCTAAAATTGGGTTCGAAACAGCGAAGAAAAGGGTACCAGAGCCAAATGCCCCGCGCCCCGCGTTTGGCCTAGGGCATAGTGTCCACGATACCGTCGCGCTGCGATTTCTGAATTATGACAACTGTTACGCACTCATTGCATGTCTTTGTGTCTGCTACGTCGCTTGTGATACTCGTCCGGCGCGACGGATCGCGGACCCTTTTTAGCTAGGGCATAGTTCTGCAGCGATAATCGCCGCGACTTCGGCAAAGCCCAGCGATGTCGCGTCGCGCGTGCTGCACGGGCGACTGGGCGATATCGCTGAGGTGCGGGGGACATTTTGAGGATTTTTTATGGACAGGCGCTGCTGTTTCAGTTGTTTTTGTTTGAAAAAAGAAATGGAACTTGTTTAACTGTATGTACAACGATACTTCTTACTTCGACGCCTTTTCCTAACCTTAAATTGTCGGATGAAATGTTCGAAAGTGTAAGCATTTTTGACGAGATGGTTTTTGGATTGGTTTCTGATTTTGTGTTGGAGTCTTTGCTTCTCGCAGAGTTAATACATTATCACTCTGCTTGTTTGCATATTCTTTTTCGCTATCCGTATAAGAACAGAATTCTCTTCCTCACCAATACCAAACGTTTATGCTTGTTTTTTCGCTATCTTCGCAGGAATGCTGTGCTCGACTTTTCGAAAAGGTGTCTAATGTGGGTCTTCGCTAAAGCACTACAAAATCCACGTACTAGCTTGTTTCACCAAAAAATTTGGTGAAGAGTGTCTTAATAGTAGCTCTTGGCTCGCAAGGGCCGACATTCTCAGGTTAGATCCACTATGCTAAGAGCTGGTAAGCTCGTGAAAACTGGATTTGTTGAAAGGTGGGCAAAATGTTTCTTTGTACTCGATTTCATCACGATCGACATAAGGGATCTATGCTGAGAGTGAAGTGAGTGGGATAACGCATAACGCACGAGAACAGTCTGTTTAGTTTGCGTGCAACTGCCCTGTGTTTGCAAAGATACGAAATCGCGCGCACTATGCCCATGCACGCGCGACGGACGATTTCGTTGTCGCGATCTCGTCGCTTAAACCACCGATTTCCTCAGCGATCAAATCGCGGCGACAAAATCGTGGACACTATTCCCGTTGCCTTTGGGGTCGCGGTAGCGCGCAGCGCGCGGAGAGCAGACGAGCAGCGGAGACAGACCAGAGCCGACGGGGCATTTGGCTCTGGTCGTAGATCTCTGCGGGGTCTCAACGAAACCCTGCAACATTTATATCATTCTGATCGCCATGACACGGCGAGGAGAACTGACAACGTCCCAAGCTTTGAAAGCCACTCATTAGCGAGATAAACCAGCGTTCTCATGCGTGACCCTCTGCGAAAGATTTAAGCGCAGTTTCTCTTTTAATATAACTCCAACAGCTTTCCTAAACTTCTGATACTCAATTTTGGTCAAATGAGAGGTTAACAGAGAAATTTCGTCTTGAATTCTGGCGAAAATTCCACAGAAACCTACCTTTCAACGTAAAAAAGGCTATAAAACGCAAATTCTCGGTTTTGCTGTGATAAACTAACGATATTATTCCCTATATTTGCTTCATTAGCATTCGTTCCGAAATAGTCAGGATGATAACATCCGGGGCCTCGCCCGATGACTTCTGTTTTTTTCCAGGTGAAGGTTGTGTCCCCTCATAGCCCTCAAAGTGAAAGTTACCAGAGTACGTGGTTCCATGTATCGAGGGTATGCATTGACGACCAAGGCTTTTACGGACCAGTGAACATTCTCCAGATAAAATTACGCACAATTCCATCTACAGTACACCTACAGTAACGCTGGAATGCTGGCAAAAACAAGAGGTTGTGTCTAGATCCAGCTGACAGGAAAACCCCGGGATGGGTTCGACATAAAATAATAGCCATTTCAACGACACAAATGGTGTGTTAAGGTTTGACACACCATGTGTGTCAAGCGGTCGTCAATGTTAAAGGCAGCGTGTGCAGGCGTTTAGGCGCCGCGGCTCAGTAGCGAAGCGCCATTGGACAAATGGGCTGCTGCAGCAATTGTCTGAGCAAATGAACAAAAAATCACTTCAGTACTCTGGTCAGTCACTTCGAGTACTTGAGAGCTATCATGTGCATGAAATAATTAGTGGAGACGAAAGATAAAGAAGTGCCGATAAACTGCGTATGCACGCAACCGCCACGACTGCCACGATTTTGTGAATCAGGGGCCGGGCACAGATCAAGCAATTTCATCGTCCTAACCCATCAAGACAATTATTACGAGTCATTGCATGCCGAGCATCTTGCATTTCGGTTTTGGTAGTTATTCGCGAGTAGTCGGATGGAAAAACTATCACAAACAATGCAAGCTGATCGGCAGCCATGAACTTGTAAGACTTGTCGTGTTGATAGAATCGCGAGGAGATGAAATCGCACGATGTACGCCCGCTCTCAAAGGCACCGTCTACCCTAAGTTGAGGGTCTTGAGCTTTTCGCATATGATAATAGCTCCTATCAAGCCAATGCTCAAATCGCGGCGCAAAATGTCGCTTCGGAAGCGAGAAAACCGCTCCGGTAACGGAGATGCACGAGGATCCCCAGACGGCACCGCCCTCCCAACCATGCCCGCCCATCAGTGCGTCCCATCCATCACCGTTCCGGAGAACCGGCCTGCGGGAACCGGGAACTTCAGCATACTCTGCTCGGGGGTGAAGGTACGAACACCTCAGGCGCCGTTTCCGCAGGCTGCTGGTCCTTTCGTCCTACTATTATACGTCGTGTTGGGAACTAGTAGTCCGCGAAGGCGGTGCCTAATTGAGGTGTTCGTTCCTCTACCCCCCATCAGTGCGTCCCATCCAATCACCGTCCCGGAGAACCGGCCTGCGGGTTCTCCGGAAACTTCAGCATACTCTGCTCGGCGGCCGTTGCTCTGAAACGAGCAAAGTGGACATAGGCCGTCGTTACACCAACTCCTTTGTGCACGCCTTTCCGCCAACTGCTGCACTCTGAGCTTTTGTAAAGCTTTTGTCACGTGGATCATTCACGATATTTTAGGTTCATCAACTGCTAGTCGTTGTCTGGGATAGTTCTTAGAAGTTTTTACATTACGTTTGATAAGCAGGTCGTTCAGGTAGATATGACAGAATTGTCTGTAGTTGTCAATGCGATTCTGTCTATAGTTGGATACTTTATTTGTGGTAGTCTGATAAAGGAGTATATCCCTATATTTATACAGAGAAAAATGTATGGAAACGACCAATGTAAGGTATGTTGATCTTTGGATTTTGCTATCTTCTTTTTCATCTGTTTCATACTAATGGCAAGTGTTATTTTGTTATGGGCAGCTTCCTTGCTTACTTGTAATTTCTTTGTTTCCTTGTGTAACCAAGCTGGGGGCATATTGTTATGTTTAGAAAAGCGACGATCCCATCCCAGAGCCAATGGGTGTAATTTGTGCCGCTGCTTACCTTATCATCATGTTCTTGTTTATTCCGTTTCCATTTGCTGAGTGGCTTGGAAGCGAGTGAGTTGTCCGCATTTGTAATCGTTTGAGGCCTACATCAACACATGTTGAAGAACTGAGTTTCCATACTCGAAGTTGTTGGCGTTTTTGTCTGGATTGATCTCTATCTGCACTGCGATTCTGCTAGGATTTGCTGATGATGTTCTTGATCTGAGATGGCGTCACAAATTAGCGTTTCCGACCCTGTCTTCATTACCACTGCTCATGGTGTACTATGTGTCAGGTACAAATTCTATTGAGACCTGCTTTTCCTGATGTTTCTTTTTTCTTTCCTCTTGTGCTGTCCCTTTCGTGACTATTTACATTTATGATGTCATTGGGAGCTCTACAGGAGGGTCTACAACAGTCGTTATTCCTTCAACAATGGTGCGGGCTGTGCTTGCTCCATTTGTACCTTCATGGGTCTCTCAAAGCATTCCTGCTACAATCAATATCCATCATCTTTACTATGTTTTCATGTGCATGGTCGTGGTTTTCTGCACAAATGCGATCAATATTTTGGCCGGTGAGTGAGTTGTCTATATTGTCTTATGCTATGCTATCATATTTTTCCTTGCGTTTGATTTTTGTTTCCTAGGTGTAAATGGTCTCGAAAGCGGGCAAGCTCTGGTGATAGGTGCAAGCGTTGTACTTTTCAACTTGATACAGGTGATAGATTTAGAGCTCTGAAGCGAATGCAGCGATCGTATTATCAAATCAATCTCACATTTAGGTTACGCGTGTAGAAGAACAGTATTGGGACCATTTACTGTCACTTTATTTTCTGATACCCTTTTTAACGTGTACATTGGCGCTCTATCAATTCAATAAAGTAAGTGGTGCCCGACTTCCCTTTTCTACTTTTCACTAAACCCTAGTTGCAGTATCCAGCACGAGTTTTTGTTGGTGATACATTTTGTTATTGGGCAGGAATGACTCTAGCCGTCGTATCAATTCTTGGTCATTTTAGCAAAACCATGATACTGTTTCTTATTCCACAGGTACTTTACGGCCATCGCTCGTTATTGTTCTCATAGACTGTGATTCTGATTGCGGTTTCTGCGAGTTTTGTATACTTCAGGTGTTCAATTTTCTATACTCTTTACCACAACTCTTCAAGCTTGTGCCATGCCCCCGACATCGCTTGCCGAAGTTCAATCCGGAAACGAATAAGGCATGTTTAATCTCCACATGCATTGTCCTTGTATCCATTTGTTGCTGTTTAGGTTGGCATGAGTATGGCTGAGTTCAAAGAATCGGATCTCAGATTTCTCGGAAATTTTACTCTCAAACTGTTCTCCGCATTTGGTCTACTCCATAGCAGAAGTTTTGATAGAGATGGGACGAGGCAAGTGCTCGTTATTTTTGAGAAATGTTCGACTTTCTCGCTTAATAAAGGTTGTCTTCATACATAATCATACGGGTGGGATCTAAGTTGCTAAACGCAAAAACTTTGAGTTCCATCTTTTTTTTGCAAAAAACTGCTCTAAATTTGCATCTGAAATGATGGTTAACCTGAAATCAAAATCGTCTTTCGATATGTGTTTTTGTCATCTCGTGTGCACCGGCTCGGTTCTTCTTTGCTACACTTGCATCAAGATCTTTTTACTAGCAATACTACTACGTTTGTGTACACATTTTGAAAGAATATGTCTTGTTTGATCTCAGTTTCGCTCTCTCATATATCAGTCGATGCTTGCACTCTACAAAAATGTTTTACTTGAGAATTGGTATCTCATTCTTAGATGGCGTGAAATCAACAACCTGACTCTGCTGAACTTGGTACTGAAGTTTGCTGGACCTTTGCATGAAAAGACTCTCACAAAAGCCCTTCTTCTCATCCAGGTGGTTTGCTCATTTTTTGCGTTTTTCGTTAGATTTTTCCTTGCATCATGCTTCTACGAGGTCGTGTATTGATTTCATATGCAGTTGTTCTTATGTTGCTCAGTCGAACGTGTACTTTCATATATCTACAAATATATAAAAGTGGCGGTCACAGAATCTTTCTTTCTATATTATTGAAAGAGCATGGCCCTTTCAAGAAGCAGTACGCCCTTGTAAAAGAACCTTGCTAATGCGTTTTTTACAAAATCCAAAAACGTTCCACTTTCCAAGACTTCAAAATCGATCTACTTTCCACCTAACAAAAAATCTACCTGTCTTATTCTATCCGTGACTTTTTTTGGATTCGAAAATTATGCGATGCATACTGAGGGAAGCCATCCCTCCTCCTCTCCCCCCCCTTTGCCTCGATCTGTTTGAAGGTTATTTACTGGGCTATAAAAATGTTCAAGTAATTTATTCGTACTTATGTAACTAAAATGATTTTAAAATCTCTATAAATCTGAATTAGCTCTTTGAAAAAAAATTTTTCTTGGGGTGAGGCTGCCGCGTTGATCCGTATTTTCGGGGTCATGGGCCCGCAAAAATCTTGGGAAAGGTCTCAGAAATTTTTTGGAATGCGTGGCGTTAGCCTTAAAAAGACCTTTTTCAATAAAAATTCTTGTCCTTTCCCCGAACGGAAATCCTGAGACCGCCACTGGAAAGAGAGTAAATAAGCTCACGATAAGCCTACCCTCCTCATGTTCTGTACCTCTTTCTATCTAGTCATTTCAATGTCAGTTTATCAGAACCTTTCTGACTTAGAATTCGCTGTTGTCATCATGCTATGTGATTGGACTTCTCGAGTGTTTGTTGTTTTTCTGGCATTTGTTGATTACATAATATCTTCTTGCCTAAATCAAGTTGAATATCTTTCATTGTTGTGGTATATGTTAATAAAGCTTTATATCGTTGACTATGAGCCTGAACTCAAATTTAGATCAGATACACTTGCTCAGCAAATTCAAGTATATCCTTTTCTGAACACACAGTGGTTTTTAGCTTTTTATAGGTCATCCATAGCAGTTGAATGGTTTTCAGAGTGATTCTAGAAAGTTTCCTTTTAGAGTTGGTCTCTTACATTGTTTATCTACAAAGTATTATAGTACACACTGAAACCGATTGAACGCTAGTGTTGCAGTCCGAAACGCTTTCAACTGGCAGGACCTACACTCACCTAGAAGCACAATCGAAGTGAAAAAAAAATACGTCTTTCAAATAAAATTGCGTTGTTCTTCAATGTAGGGGCCTATAGACACACTTTAGTCTCGACAAAAAATCCATGAAAGCCAATACAAACCAAAGTATTAGCTTTAGGGAGAGCATTTTTTGAAGAAACAAATTACAATGCACGTTAACCGTATTATTTAGGCATGTTCGCCCTGGCAACATTACGCTCGCTACAAAGAAAAGTATGGCTTTAAACATTATCGGCTCTTATCATGCTTCTTGCAGTATAATCGGTTTAATCACGCTAAGGCCGCGTAAGCAAAGCATGGAAAAAACAAAGATCAAACCTACAGGCTTCGCAAGGACAAAGAACGGAGAACACGTTTGTAACTTACATACAGTATGGTGAATAGAGAAAAGATGATATTTTTGGAGTGACGTAAAACGCACGAGCAAATCCAATTTTTCGAATTCAAAAAACGACAGTAATACTGCTGCTCCAAACTTCTCCAGTCACCACTGCCACTAGCTTCAAAAAACTTGTTATAATCGATATTATGACAAGCATAATACATTTCAAACCCATTTTCTCTTCAGTGATGAATGTGGCAAAACTATGTAATCAGCAAATCTCTTATGCCGTAATTCCGAACATGCGTAATCGGACTCATTTACGATCCAAGCTATCTTCGCCTCCGAATCGTAAACTGTTTGGACCAAAGATAGGAGCTCTGCTGCTATAAAAAGAGGTTACACGCCCCCAAGGACGACTTCTGTGAAGCAGAAGGTGAAGACATCTATAGACATGTCTCGAAACCCGCAGCTAAGCATCAGGCACCTCAGTGAGTCTAGTTTTGTCCACTTTTATACTCCCACTTGGCTTGGTGGTCTACACCTCTACACCATACCCAGTTCATACCACTCGCCTTGAAGCGGATGCTTGCCTCTTTGCTATTTCACTTTTTGTGCATCTCATCTAGCCACATGCACTCACTACTCCAGCAACGAGAAATAAATCTGATTTCTTGAGTTCTAAAAAAACACTTTGTCATTCAGAGAAGCTGTTTCATAGCTACGCAGAAAATGGCTCTACCCTTACAAAGGACGAGGCTGCTGCGGCATTAGCTGAACTGCCCGAGGAAAACAGACTACTCAGGCACTTCAGCCAAGAATTTGATGAGCACGCAAATGAAGGGCACATTACGTTCACAGGTAGGAAAAATCTATAATAGTTAAAAAGCTATATGATTGTTAAAGGATTTCTGCATTTCGTTGATCCAAATGGCCAGAGTCATCCGAGGAAACACAAGAGAGATACTTTGGTGAGCGATAAATCTATTAGTGATGACTGGACAGAATGCACAACTGCAAGAATAATGACAGAGGAAACCTCTGCAAGTGATTGTAAACAACTTGAACTCGTTCAGAAGCAACACAAAAGGACCGAGAAGAAAAGTCATGAGAATCCGAAGAGCAGCCACAGCTCCAGCTCTTCCGAGAGCAATACTGAGAATGAAGGCGAAAGAACGCATGAGGAGGGCAACTCTAAACTGAAAAGCTCATCCGAAAGCAAGCCTGTGCACAACAAAAATCAGGAGACAAATGTGCACAAGCATCACGAGAAGAAGCATCACAAACATGACGAGAACAAGCACCATGTGAAGGCCAATGAGAATGGCACTTCTTCCAGCTCCAGCAGCTCATCGGACAGCGAGCCTGAGCATCACTTACACCATGGTCACCATGAGCACCACCACAAGACCCATGTGCACAAGCATCACGAGAAGAAGCATCACAAACATCACGAGCATCACAAGCATCATGTGAACTCTCATAAAAACGCTTCTTCCAGCTCCAGCAGCTCATCGGACAGCGAGCCTGAGCATCACCTACACCATGGTCACCATGAACACCACCATAAGGCCCATGTGCACAAGCATCACCACAAGGCTCATGTGCACAAGCACCACGAGAAGAAGCATCACAAACATCACGAGCATCACAAGCATCATGTGAAGGCCCATGAGAATGACACTTCTTCCAGCTCCAGCAGCTCATCGGACAGCGAGCCTGAGCATAACGTACATCATGGTCACCATGAACACCACCATAAGGCCCATGTGCACAAGCATCACGAGAAGAAGCATCACAAACATCACGAGCATCACAATCATCATGTGAAGGCCCATGAGAATGACACTTCTTCCAGCTCTAGCAGCTCATCGGACAGCGAGCCTGAGCATCACCTACACCATGGTCACCATGAACACCACCATAAGGCCCATGTGCACAAGCATCACCACAAGGCTCATGTGCACAAGCACCACGAGAAGAAGCATCACAAACATCACGAGCATCACAAGCATCATGTGAAGGCCCATGAGAATGACACTTCTTCCAGCTCCAGCAGCTCATCGGACAGCGAGCCTGAGCATAACGTACATCATGGTCACCATGAACACCACCATAAGGCCCATGTGCACAAGCATCACGAGAAGAAGCATCACAAACATCACGAGCATCACAATCATCATGTGAAGGCCCATGAGAATGACACTTCTTCCAGCTCTAGCAGCTCATCGGACAGCGAGCCTGAACATCATCTACACCACGGTCACCATGAGCACCACCACAAAGCCCATGTGCACAAGCATCACCACAAGGCTCATGTGCACAAGCATCTCGAGAAGAAGCATCACAAACATCACGATCATCACAAGCATCATGTGAAGGCCCATGAGAATGACACTTCTTCCAGCTCCAGCAGTTCATCAGACAGCGAGCCTGAGCATAACGTACATCATGGTCACCATGAACACCACCACAAGACCCATGTGCACAAGCATCACGAGAAGAAGCATCACAAACATCACGAGCATCACAATCATCATTTGAAGGCCCATGAGAATGACACTTCTTCCAGCTCTAGCAGCTCATCGGACAGCGAGCCTGAGCATCACCTACACCATGGTCACCATGAACACCACCATAAGGCCCATGTGCACAAGCATCACCACAAGGCTCATGTGCACAAGCACCACGAGAAGAAGCATCACAAACATCACGAGCATCACAAGCATCATGTGAAGGCTCATGAGAATGACACTTCTTCCAGCTCCAGCAGTTCATCAGACAGCGAGCCTGAGCATAACGTACATCATGGTCACCATGAACACCACCACAAGACCCATGTGCACAAGCATCACGAGAAGAAGCATCACAAACATCACGAGCATCACAATCATCATGTGAAGGCCCATGAGAATGACACTTCTTCCAGCTCTAGCAGCTCATCGGACAGCGAGCCTGAACATCATCTACACCACGGTCACCATGAGCACCACCACAAAGCCCATGTGCACAAGCATCATCACAAGGCTCATGTGCACAAGCATCTCGAGAAGAAGCATCACAAACATCACGATCATCACAAGCATCATGTGAAGGCCCATGAGAATGACACTTCTTCCAGCTCCAGCAGTTCATCAGACAGCGAGCCTGAGCATAACGTACATCATGGTCACCATGAACACCACCACAAGACCCATGTGCACAAGCATCACGAGAAGAAGCATCACAAACATCACGAGCATCACAATCATCATGTGAAGGCCCATGAGAATGACACTTCTTCCAGCTCTAGCAGCTCATCGGACAGCGAGCCTGAACATCATCTACACCACGGTCACCATGAGCACCACCACAAAGCCCATGTGCACAAGCATCATCACAAGGCTCATGTGCACAAGCATCTCGAGAAGAAGCATCACAAACATCACGAGCATCACAATCATCATTTGAAGGCCCATGAGAATGACACTTCTTCCAGCTCTAGCAGCTCATCGGACAGCGAGCCTGAGCATCACCTACACCATGGTCACCATGAACACCACCACAAGACCCATGTGCACAAGCATCACGAGAAGAAGCATCACAAACATCACGAGCATCACAATCATCATGTGAAGGCCCATGAGAATGACACTTCTTCCAGCTCTAGCAGCTCATCGGACAGCGAGCCTGAACATCATCTACACCACGGTCACCATGAGCACCACCACAAAGCCCATGTGCACAAGCATCACCACAAGGCTCATGTGCACAAGCATCTCGAGAAGAAGCATCACAAACATCACGATCATCACAAGCATCATGTGAAGGCCCATGAGAATGACACTTCTTCCAGCTCCAGCAGTTCATCAGACAGCGAGCCTGAGCATAACGTACATCATGGTCACCATGAACACCACCACAAGACCCATGTGCACAAGCATCACGAGAAGAAGCATCACAAACATCACGAGCATCACAATCATCATTTGAAGGCCCATGAGAATGACACTTCTTCCAGCTCTAGCAGCTCATCGGACAGCGAGCCTGAGCATCACCTACACCATGGTCACCATGAACACCACCATAAGGCCCATGTGCACAAGCATCACCACAAGGCTCATGTGCACAAGCACCACGAGAAGAAGCATCACAAACATCACGAGCATCACAAGCATCATGTGAAGGCTCATGAGAATGACACTTCTTCCAGCTCCAGCAGTTCATCAGACAGCGAGCCTGAGCATAACGTACATCATGGTCACCATGAACACCACCACAAGACCCATGTGCACAAGCATCACGAGAAGAAGCATCACAAACATCACGAGCATCACAAGCATCATGTGAAGGCTCATGAGAATGACACTTCTTCCAGCTCCAGCAGTTCATCAGACAGCGAGCCTGAGCATAACGTACATCATGGTCACCATGAACACCACCACAAGACCCATGTGCACAAGCATCACGAGAAGAAGCATCACAAACATCACGAGCATCACAATCATCATGTGAAGGCCCATGAGAATGACACTTCTTCCAGCTCTAGCAGCTCATCGGACAGCGAGCCTGAACATCATCTACACCACGGTCACCATGAGCACCACCACAAAGCCCATGTGCACAAGCATCACCACAAGGCTCATGTGCACAAGCATCTCGAGAAGAAGCATCACAAACATCACGATCATCACAAGCATCATGTGAAGGCCCATGAGAATGACACTTCTTCCAGCTCCAGCAGTTCATCAGACAGCGAGCCTGAGCATAACGTACATCATGGTCACCATGAACACCACCACAAGACCCATGTGCACAAGCATCACGAGAAGAAGCATCACAAACATCACGAGCATCACAAGCATCATGTGAAGGCTCATGAGAATAACACTTCTTCCAGCTCTAGCAGCTCATCGGACAGCGAGCCTGAGCATCACCTACACCATGGTCACCATGAACACCACCATAAGGCCCATGTGCACAAGCATCACCACAAGGCTCATGTGCACAAGCACCACGAGAAGAAGCATCACAAACATCACGAGCATCACAAGCATCATGTGAAGGCCCATGAGAATGACACTTCTTCCAGCTCCAGCAGTTCATCAGACAGCGAGCCTGAGCATAACGTACATCATGGTCACCATGAACACCACCACAAGACCCATGTGCACAAGCATCACGAGAAGAAGCATCACAAACATCACGAGCATCACAAGCATCATGTGAAGGCTCATGAGAATGACACTTCTTCCAGCTCCAGCAGTTCATCAGACAGCGAGCCTGAGCATAACGTACATCATGGTCACCATGAACACCACCACAAGACCCATGTGCACAAGCATCACGAGAAGAAGCATCACAAACATCACGAGCATCACAATCATCATGTGAAGGCCCATGAGAATGACACTTCTTCCAGCTCTAGCAGCTCATCGGACAGCGAGCCTGAACATCATCTACACCACGGTCACCATGAGCACCACCACAAAGCCCATGTGCACAAGCATCACGAGAAGAAGCATCACAAACATCACGAGCATCACAAGCATCATGTGAAGGCTCATGAGAATAACACTTCTTCCAGCTCTAGCAGCTCATCGGACAGCGAGCCTGAGCATCACCTACACCATGGTCACCATGAACACCACCATAAGGCCCATGTGCACAAGCATCACCACAAGGCTCATGTGCACAAGCACCACGAGAAGAAGCATCACAAACATCACGAGCATCACAAGCATCATGTGAAGGCCCATGAGAATGACACTTCTTCCAGCTCCAGCAGTTCATCAGACAGCGAGCCTGAGCATAACGTACATCATGGTCACCATGAACACCACCACAAGACCCATGTGCACAAGCATCACGAGAGGAAGCATCACAAACATCACGAGCATCACAAGCATCATGTGAAGGCTCATGAGAATAACACTTCTTCCAGCTCCAGCAGCTCATCGGACAGCGAGCCTGAGCATTACCTTCACCATGGTCACCATGAGCACCACCACAAGGCCCATATGCACAAGCATCACGAGAAGAAGCATCACAAACATCACGAGCATCACAAGCATCATGTGAAGGCTCATGAGAATAACACTTCTTCCAGCTCCAGCAGCTCATCAGACAGCGAGCCTGAGCATAACGTACATCATGGTCACCATGAACACCACCATAAGGCCCACGTGCACAAGCATCACGAGAAGAAGCATCACAAACATCATTAACAAAGTGCCCTGATGATTGAGAAATGATCATATGTTGACAGGAAATTTGATTTAATGTTTTCTTCTTCCAATCTAGTACATTCTTTTATCATATTTTAAACTTTATTGTACATATCTTTCTGCTCTAAATTATTATATAATTATCACATAAATATTGAACTGTTGTGCCAGTCAAAAACACAGCAGTAGTCTCGCTGTAGAGTCTTATGAAGCCACGGCAAAACGACAGCTTTGCAGCTCTAAGTGAACAATTTATGTTTCGCACAGCGCTACTATGAACAGTCTACGCATCTTCAACAGATTCATATTGGACATTTATTTTCATATGCAAGTATGGATGACGACTGAATCAAGATTATACGCAGTATAAATAAGCTACTGCTGCGCAAAGAGCAGTGCCATTTCACCGAAAACTATTCGAGCGAGTTATCGGTTTGATTTCGACCAACATTACACATTCAAACAAGGACGTAACAGGTGCTAATTCAATCACAAAAACGATTCGTTTTTTCAGGTATGCAGGTACTGTACTGTACACCCTGAACGTAAATACGATAAAATAGTTTAAGTGGGGGTCGGGAACGCAGGAGTATATATGACATGATTAGAGACTGATTCTCATCATGTGCATGAGGACGAGGTCTTGTGTTAGACCATAACAGCACAGTGATCTATGGAATTTAGTGTGAGCGAAGACAAACAAGTAACAGTAACAAAACATACGAGCTAACAAGGAATAAACCTATATCTATCAGGCAAAGCCGAAGAGACTATTTGCATACACCATCGGCGGCACCATAGGATGAGGCACTGCCTCGAACGAGGTAAACTTGGGCTAGAATCGACAGGATCATGGAGAGCTCAAGCAATCACAGTATGAATGCGCCTTACCGTCAAATTGTCTCCAGTTATCGTGATGAACGCGCCTTTGTTTCCCATCTGGTCACAGTAGTTGGGCGCAGAGAAAACCTCAAAACAAAATCTATCAGCGGAACAAAAAAAAAATCAGTGAGTACTCACTGTGATGCATTTTCCATTGTGATGAACTTCATATCCTTCGGGCTTTACCTCGTGGCTCCTGCGTGATAGAATTTTGGCGGAGAGCTGATGATTCGATTGTTCTTACCTGATCACATATTGCACACCATTTTTTGACAGCCATGCGTCAGTGATATCAGGGCCAAACTGACAGCCGACACCACGCTTTGATGGAGCACGCCCTCGTAGATCTTGTGGATCAGACCTGGAACGTGAAATTTGGAATTCGACAGCTACCAGCCAAATCAAGAACAAAGTCCGCACGTGTCTTATGCAGATGTCAGCTCGGAGCAAATGCCAGTATGCAGAAACAGTACATTTGCTACAGTGCCCTCCCTTATTTATGAGCTTTAAAAATGCGGAAAGCTTCCAAATTTACGGAGGCGCCGCTGATACGAAAGAAGATACAACTCGATACCCTATCTTCTTTCGAAAAATTCTGCGCCCCCTTCACGAACGACCGCCCTTCAAAAACGCACAACAGTCATTCCTAGCATCAAAGGTATCGGTAAGTTAATTTCAAAACGAGCCGATGAAAGTGGACATTCTCAGGACTAAGAACGTCCTTGACTGATATGATATATGTACATGTGCTACCGAATCTATGCTACAGCACACATTCCAGATCAGAGCCGCATGAGTTGGTTTTAGGCTTCTTGGAGACGAAGCCCCCCTGACTTTCGCGAAACTTTACGAAGTCCACTTTGACTCTCAGCCTAAACGTAAAAAGCCCTAAAAAAACGAAACGTCGACTAAAAAAGTCGCAACTTTTGGCCACAAAAACGATATCTCCTTTGTTTTTTCGCCCAATCGAATTCCATCCTGCTTTCATATAATCTGCGTCGGGCCCTAGCCTAGAGGCACATCTGAATGAAAAAAATCACGGATCATCGAATAATCTTTTAGAAGCAACAAGAAATGATAACGTGAGTGTCTAGTGTCTGTGTTGTTGGTCTAAAGTCAAAACCGTCCAGTATCCAGTAACTCTTACCTTACAGGGTCCTATTACTTGGCTACTACAAAAATTGAGAATGAATTATCAATTTTATAGTTTGAGAGAATACGAAATTGGAAAGAAATACAAAAACTTATAGAAAACGAAAAGTGGTATATGACGTCTTACCACAACAGATCGCACATGATTCCTTCATCTGGCGGTTGCCTAACTCGGTCTGTTTTTCGGATGTCGTCTAGTGTAACACCGTCTTCTTTGAACAATCCTCCATGACAAACCTTAATCGTGCGCTATCAAATGAAAAAGAGAGAAAGTGCAAGCGGTAAAAAGAGTACAAATAATTCAACCTACAAAAATCTTCCTATTGATCAGATGACATAGGGGCAATTGACAAAATATTTCCGTGAAGAAATCAGCCATCTGATTTGTAAACTTCTTCTTGACTTCACCTTCGAAACCATACATCTTGAATCAACATGTGGTCAAAACAGTATACTCGGAAAGGAAAATCTACTTTACCTTGTTCATTACATCACTTTCGTGGTTTCCTCTGGATAAGAAGAAATGATTTGGGTATAACAGCTTGTAGCTGAACATTGTAAATATGGTTTCTACGCTGAATGAACCGCGATCCACGAAGTCCCCATTGAACAACTGAAACAGATACAATATTTCGGGTGTTCTGAAAGGATGATTAACTCAACACTTACATAAGGATTCTTCTCCGAGGGAAGACCATTGATATCGAAAATATTACAGAGATCGTAGAATTGTCCGTGGATATCGCCACAAATTGTGAAACGTTGTTTTGGAGGCACATCTATTTCTACTAACGTTGGTTGATCTTTGAAGTAAGCATAGATATCTAGTAGAATCTGAAAACGTAGGATTAACCCTTGTCTTTGGCTTATTTTTAGAGGGATTGACAAGGCGAATTAGTGTACACAGTGTCACAGTATAGTATCTTATCATTTATGCTGCATTCTATATCATTAGGAGTGACTGGGTCTCGTGCGCTTGGGTCCCGCGCGACCGCCTCTCCTGGGCTCTGCAACTTTCCGTGAACGTGCCCTCTGATGACTTTTCCACCCCGAGCACGAGGAAAGCAGAGCTTCAATTGTTAATCAAAGACACTGTCCGGGCAAGAAGTCGATTTTCAGCAAATTTGCTAACCTGGGATTATCCGCAATGCCGAATCCGAAGGTCTACGTTAGAAAGCGCGAAAACGACGAGATCATGCGTCTCCCAAAGCCAGACTGGACGGCTGCCGCGAGGCTGAGGCGCAAAGTCGCTGCGGATCCTACGACTTAGGGCCGCATGCACTAACGTCCCCGCTGAGGAGGGGAAAGAGAGCTTCGTATCTCTCGTATCTCCAATGTGGGTTTCCCGGGGATCATCAGGTAATCATACAAAAAGTTGGAAAATGCGGCTTGTACAGCTTCTTGCTCCCATTAATATGTTCACATCGAAGGAAGATGGGAATTACGAATACGTAAAGAGCGTGAAGTCCACACATCTGGAGCTTCAGAATATGAAACTTTTTAAAGCTGCGATCCCCTCCCCAGCATTGATGTTAGTGCATGAGGCCTTAAAACTGTGGCGGCATGCGTACTCTGCCGCAGGGCACTATTTAAACGGGTGGGACCCCGCGCAGGGCACCAGTTTCCCAACTTTCCGACCGTATTTCGTGCTCCTAATCAAGAGTTATGGCCTCGCACTTGCGCGACTTTCGCACGGCATTGAGATTCCAAAACCGTCTTGTCCGGAACTGCCTTTTAGCATGGGAAAGTGATCAGAGAGCATGCCCGCCAGAACTGCAGAGCCCAGATGAGGCGGCCGCGCGAGACCCGAGCCGCACAAGTTTCACATCACTCTTGTTGATCCAGAGGGTGGACTGTACCAAATTTGAGGGGGGGGGGGGGGGAATCTATGCATTGCATAAGCACATAGCTGTTTTGTTGAGCGAAGACTTAAAGGCCACTTCAAGTCCGGCTTGGCAGACGACGTTGGAGTATTCATCGTTCTCGTTTCCACTGGATGAGCTAAGTCCAAACTACGCTTTGCAGCTTCTGAAGATTTTGATAACTCGCAATGCCGGAGGTTGAAAGTGCTATTTGAGCGGGAAGAAAAACCCGCCCTCTGGGAAGCGATTGGCTCGTAAAGTCTTGATGGGTGGAAACACCCTACCCATCTCGGCGACAACTGGTATATTGGCTCCAGGTAGCCAACTGCTTATAAAGGGGCTTCCGCCTACCACCCAAACAGCAGCCTTCACGTCCAGAGAAGCGAGTTCATATCTTCAAAAGCTGCAAAACACAGTTTCGAACTAAGCTCATCCAGGAGAGTCAGAACTATGCATACCTCGAAGTTGTCAATCTGCCGAGCCACTGCCTTCAAGGCCCTGAGCAGAGCTCATGCGATTCGTCGGCCGCGTCCTGCTATTTTGGACAAATGTTCCACGCCACGCCGTTAAGTGTGTGGATCCCTATGCATTTGTGATGGATGTGCGGCTCGACGGATTTCTACACACTTTTCGGCGTTTATGGCCCACATGGCGACATCGTTGTGATTTTGCCAAACCGGCGCGAAGTCGCCCGTCGCGTGGTTTCTGAACCGTGTTTTCCATTTTATTCATGTATTTGCTGATTTTTGTGAGTTATGTATATTTTTGCCATTTATGAGTGTTTTTGCATGAAGTGCAAGTGCATGAATTTGCGTCAGAGGTATGCACGCCGCCGACCGATGAGCGACTTAAGAGCCGGGCATACTTCACGCGATTACAGTCGCGAAGCGATTTGGCATTTCGCCAGAAGTCGTCAAATCCAACACTAGCAAACTGCACATGCATAGTGTGTATAACTTATGTGGTTTGATAAAATGCCCTATCTTATGTACATTTGAAATGTGCTCACATTACCTTATGGATGGTTGGAATATTGCCAAATCGCGTCGCGACTAAAATCGCATGAAGTATGCCCGGCCCTTTGGTCGCCGCTTCCAGTCGCTACTTCGAGCAAGTCGTCGCGATCGGAAGTCGCAACGGCTTCGTCGCCTGGGCTCAGTCCAGGTCGAACGCGAGCTCTCGATCAGTGCTGTACTCGCAGAAGGTACAGAGTGTATAGGACTTGACTGACCATGGAGTCATGAAGCTCATGGGCAACGGCTCAGTTAGAGTCTTCCGTCAGTCTCCCCATAACCACGACTATTACTATCAGGTTGTCCCATAAGTTCTGTCCGTTTTGATTTCCAATCGCAATAAATCACGAACTTCATGTTTCTAGATAGGTACCGTTCGATAGAGCAAATTAAGCACTATAAAAAGGCTATCTTGCTTTTGAACAGCTCTGATTCGTCTTGAGTTTCAAGGCGAAAACTAAAATGATTCAACTGCCCGGAAAATCGAGGAAAAATCATAACTCCGTTTGAAAAAAATCCTACAAAAATTCTAACTTGCTCGTGTAAACACTATCCATTTACGACATTTATATACGCTAATGCCGTATTTTTTCCTTGGTTAGAAATTAAGAAAACGAAAATTTTCATCTTTTTGCTAAAGTGATGCTGTGCTGTTCTTACATAGATAATTATATACTACTAGCCAGTAGAAGTACAAATGTAAATTCGACTCTCTACAGGCACCAGTTTTCGAGAAATATGGAATTTAGCGTAAGGCGCCCAACTAAGGCAATCTGTATTCGATTATTTCGATATTTCTTGAGAACCAAAGCTTGTAAGGAGCTGAAAAGTTATATTCGTACTTCTACAGACTAGTAGTATAAAACTATCTATGTAGGAACAGCACAGCATCGCTCTAGCAAAAACATGAAAATCTTCGCTTTCTAACCAAGGAGAAAATACGGCAACAGCGTATATAATCCTTAAATGGATAGTGTTTACGCGAGCAAGTTAGAATTTTTTCTAGAATTTTTTGAAACAAAGTTATGATTTTTTTTGATTTCTCGGGCAGTTAAATCTTTTTATTTCGCCTTAAAACTCGAGATGGGTCAGAGATGGTGCAAAAGCTGCGTGACACCCTAAAATAATTGTTCCAAGTAAGAGTGACCAACTCCACCGATAAGCTTTCCATGTGAAAAAAAAAGGAAACGGTTCGATAGCACGTCTGGATTCAGACCTCGCAAGAAGGATATGTCAGTGAGCTCTTCCCTTCCACAGACAAAGTCAAATAAAGATGAAGCAAACTCAAAATCAAGAACTGGTTTAAGGATGTGAAATGAAAATTCTAATGATAGAAAATGAAAAATTTTAAAGGTAATGTATAATTTCAAATTATGAGTGACCAACCTTGAAGGCATATTTTTTGTGCAATTTTCCTTGCTTTTTGAAGGTCGCCATCATCTCATTAACAAATTCGACAGTTATAACATCGTCTAGGTGAGGTCCATCATAGCTTTCTTCAACGACTGAAAGTTGAGTAGTTGACGTGGAAACTCAGAATGCTCGGCATTACTTACTCATAGTGCTGAGATCAATTGACTCAGATATGCTTTTCTTATCGTGATCCACAGAGATGGCTTTTTCGAACGCAATCCGTCGTACGATCTTTTGACATTCATCATGTTTGCGTCTTGCGTCAGCATCATTCGGATGTGCTCGAACAACAGCCGCATAATCAGCTAAGGCTTTTTTAAACCGAGCCAGAGCCATATTGGCCGTCGCTCGACGGTAATAACCCTGAATAGCAAGATTCTTGAGGTAAGGAAAACGACGGATACAAGTAGGAAACAAACAACACCTTCATATAGGTGGGATCGATAGATATAGCATTGTTAGCATCCTCTAGTGCGCTACCATACAGTTCTTTCTTGAGATAAGCCATACTTCTGCAATCTTCAGTTGTATTCTAGTATGTGGAGGCCATGACTAATACTACGAAATTTACCGATTTCCGTATAATACTGCTGTGGGGTGGTGCTCTATAGCCATAGTATATAATTCGATAGCGACATCATAAGCTTGATCTATAATGTATGAATGAGCTAGCTCTAAAATGACTACTACCCTCTGTTCCACCTGCTTACTAGAAGCACTGAACTAGTAGGAAACTTTAATCTCAAAATCTCAGCTGCAAGCACTTTGAAGGACGAACCGTGAAATTGAATTACTGTGCATTTTATCAACACCACAAAGAGGTAAAACGGACACATGTCAGCGTTTTTCATGTAAACTGGTTTTTTCTACAGATGGATGATAATAAGGTCCAATTTCTTTTGCACAGCTTTGGACACTTATCAAATGAGAAAGACTCGATAAGCATATCTGTCACCAATAAAACCGAATGACTACACTGTGTCTGATCCTCAAAACACCATATTCTCTCTTCTCTTCCAGTTCTTTCAGTCGCATAACAGATAAGAAGACAGAACCACAGCCCCACCCAATCACACTTCAACATCAGAAAACAAAATAACCTTTGAAGAACTGATTTGCTTCCTCCTTTATTTTAGACGCTTTTGCTTCTTCACCATCGATATTCTGATTTTGTATTACCTCCAGCACACTAGCTACAACGTCCTCTACTGACGCTGCCATCTGCATAAACGTCCTCAGTTGTGGTACCTACGATGACGATAGAAAGAGCTTTTTGTAGATACTATCAGTCGATTAGTGCCTTGGCACATCGAAACTGATCAAACCAGTCATCACAAAGTATCTTCACCTTTTATTTGATAAGTAATCTCTGAATGTTTAAGCAGACCCGACATGTAGGGCAGAACTAATGACACCTAAAAATATAAGTCAACAAAAACCAAGTTATCACGATGGAATCGAGGTTACACGCGACCAAGGCAAGCAGGTAGCCGAACTCAGACGAAGCTCATCACGGAGCGTAAGCTGAAAAAAAACGATACAAAAATCAAATTGAGATTAGAGCCTGTATTCGATCCTGACTAAATATAGATACCAATTATTGAAAAATACGATTGAATGAAGGTATACGTAATCTACCTTTCTCCTTTGTGTAGCACATCTATGGCAGAGTTGATGACATCAATCTTGAAAGTGTGAGTGATAAACTCGTCAATCTTGAGTTTCTTTGCCATGTAGTCATCGACTAGCTTCGGCACATTTTCGACACTTTTCCATCCTGAGAGTACAGCGCTAAGTGACACATCTATATTTTGTAAAAAGAGAGGAAAGCCGAAAGGAAGTATGAATCACCAGGCTTGCAGGGGGACTAGGGGAAGAGGGAAATGCGATGGAGGCGTTAATGAATGCTGATAAGCTGAGATGTTTCGCATCAGTGACTCAAAACATAGAACACAGCACTCATAGAAATGGAGACAATACGTAATAAGCAGACATTTCTGGAATTATACCACGGAGTCTAGAATGAGAAAGAAGAGGAGGAACGGAGAATAACGATTGCTTCAACATTATCAATGGAGACTCTATCTGGATGTAATCACTGAAACACTACAAATAACAAAGAGATTGCTCCCCACACATACAAAATACCGACGATACTTGTATACTATACGTCAAAAGAGCAGCAGTACCTCCAAAGGCAGATCCTTTCCATGTTCTACCAGTGACTAGCTGGAAAGGACGCGTTGATATTTCCTGACCAGCGCCTGCGACTCCAATGATGCAAGAGACTCCCCATCCTTTATGTGCGGCTTCAAGTGCCTGACGCTGAAATAAAAAGTTTCAAATGATAGTGAAGTATAGGCTGAATATGAATGAAGGCTAATAATATAGTTGTATAAAACCGTACAGGTACTGGCTTTGACAACAAAAAAAAAATTCAGCGAATTGGAAAATCAGTGGAAATACAGGCTTGCTACTCACCATCGTTTGCACACTGCCAATGCATTCGAATGTGTAATCAAAACCACCATCAAACTTCTCAACGAGCCAGGCTTGGATGGACTGCCCCTCGGGTACAGATTTTGGGTTGACACATTCAGTTGCGCCGAACTGGCGAGCTGTAAAACGAAAACATTTAACAAAGCCATCACGATCAATCGAAACTAATGATCAATTGCTAACCCTTATCATATTTGCTTTCTACAATGTCGATGCCCACAATCCTTTTAGCACCAACAGCTTTAGCGCCCATGATCACGGCGAGTCCCACAGCTCCAAGACCCCAAACAGCGACCGTGCTACCTGGTTCTACCTTAAAATGACACAATGACTATGAAAAGAGAACTAATGTGAGTTACCTTGCAAGTATTAATCACAGCACCATATCCCGTAGAAATCCCACATCCCAGTAAGCAGACCTTATCGAGAGGTGCATCGGGATTGATCTGCGTTGAGACTTTCATTAATTAACTACAAGTACATGGAATATCCTCCGTTAAGACTAAATGCAGAAATTCTGATAGCATCACCGACCACACACAGCATAAACGCAACAAGAACAGGCAGCAAACCAGTAAATTGCACCTTGCACAGCGATATATCAGCAACCACAGTGTATTCAGAGAAAGTAGAGCATCCCATAAAATGGTGAAGCTCCTTGCCTTGACACTTGAACCGCTTCGTACCGTTTGGCATGACCCCATTACCTTGAGGTATACTAAAATGTAATAAGACAGAGGTTTTGGAATAACAGGCCCAACATTCAGTCGCACTCATCAAGACTCGTATTGGTGATTTCTAGAACTTACCGAATTTTTTGACATAGGTTCGTTTTGGGGTTCCTGCAATACTCGCACTCCTTGCATTGTGGGACGTACAGCGGTATGACATGATCTCCTGCAAGGATCAAGCTGAATCAGAAACAGTGGCAGATCAATAGTAGCGTATAGCCAAGCTCAAGAAAACGAAGCAGCGCGATGTTACTTGTAAAACTCAATCATGACTATAGAAACTGAGGGACTGGTCCGCTGATAGTTTTAACTTGCGCTTTATTTGCAACTTACGACTTCGCTGAATACATGTATAGCGTACGATCAAAAGATCATAAGCAGTCATATAAAAAATATTTCTAATAAAAAAAGAGAACTCAAGTGCATTATTGATGCATTAATCACTGTTTACCTGGCTTGAAATCTGTGACGCCTTCACCGACACTCTCTACGACGCCAGCACCTTCATGGCCGAGAATAACAGGAAACAACCCTTCAGGATCATGCCCGTCAAGTGTGTAAATGTCAGTGTGACACAATGCAGTGTAAAGAATCTACAACAAAAAAGAAGCATGGATATGCATAAGAAAGATATGAGTGTAAAGCGAGGCAATGAGGAACTCACTTTTATGCGAACTTCATGGGCTTGTGGTGGAGCTACTTCAACCGTTTCGATTTTCAGAGGAGCCTTAGCTTCCCATGCTACGGCTGCCTTGCAAGTAATAACCTAGAATACACATTTTTACAATTAAGACAACCAGTGGAAAGGTTTGAATAGCCATACCTTACCCTCCGTTCCAGACATGTCACATATACGATGACCTGTAACGGCTCACTTGTTTACGTTACTTGTATTTGTTGATATGGTGTAACCAGAGTATAAGGCTTAGCAATGCTTAAACAAAGAATAAGCTAGACATAACTGCGAGCAAACGCCTATATGCCTCAAATAATCTTTCAAATAATTTATGTTCAGTTCCAAGCAAACAAAACAATTTTAACATAACAATAATATAACAAGGCGAAACAAACGACGTGAAGTTGTCAACGCATCAACGTAATGACCCACTCAATGTGGGGTGTCTGTGGAAACATGTCGACGGGTTGTATAGAAGCTAATTTGAATGGCCGACCGCTGTATTTCTTTGATCTGAAAAGGAACATAATTGATGAGAATGCAGACTGGACATATATGTTCCTTCTTCCCAACCATGGAAAAGATCATAGGTGCGATAGTCTGATGGATACGGGTACCCTTCAAGGTGAAGGGGTCCCGGCTGTTTTTAACCCTCAAAAATAAAAGGGATCCAGAAAGTGCCATGTCGACCGTGGCGAGGGGAGAGAGAAAGACCTCAAAGGTTTTTCATATAATTTAAAATTTCTAGTTCAATTTTTTATACGATTCTCTCATAAATTTATACTTCGTCGATTTATGTCATTTTTGAATTTAGCTAACTTAATCTTTCATTTCCCATTGTGAATGTGAGAGATATGTAGTTGAGAAGCCCAATTTGAGGGAATTTATGGAGGAGAGATGAATTGGCATGGAAGTGCGCATGGTAATAATATGGATGGCTAGGGTGGAGCTTTGATGTGGGCATGTTGGACGATAGTCGAAGGAGACATTGCTTGGTTGTGATCATAGTGGCTGTACACTCAAACAAATTGTCATTGTGTCTTTGTTTTTAAGATACGCAGTAGAGTGTGATTTTGTACAAATTTCAAGCAAGCGTTACTGGTGCTGAACCACACCTCCTCCAAGCCAAAAATACTCCATATCTCTGTGAGATGGTCTTATCGTCGTGATTTTTTAAACTATCTTGAAGATGAGAGCTTACTTACAAGGGAACGATACTCAATGTCCGTGGCCTTTCAAAACGTGATTTATACCATTATACTCGTCTTCGAACGCTGATTCCGAATCTGCCTTCCGTTTCTGCTAATCATTTCTCTGAAAGAAGTTATGGGAGAATTTCGAGCCAAGTTTGGCTACTTAAGGGAAATATGGTCATTGGAACGGCCTGTACCGCGGCCACTTTCTGGTCTAGTGGTTAGTGCAATAGCCTTATAAGTTGATGCAGGTGTAGGTTCCAACCCTTTTGTGTTTTTACTTTTGCATTACCTCAATTAAGCTTGTTCGAGGGAATTTACTTGAGCTATGATCATTGGATACAATTTAGCGCAAATAGTTATCATTTTTCCGAATTTTCACATTTTTTGAAGGGGAAGGGTGTTCACTTAGCTCTGTGATGCAAAAGAAGGTTAATTGAGGCAATGCAAAACTGAAAAACACAAAAGGACTCGAACTTGCAACTGGACCAGCTCATGGGGCTATCGCACTAACCACTAGACCACAGTGCACCGTTGGCGTTGGCGCTCCGACCATATCTCACTGGGCATCCACAATCCGCGCGATCCATTATAACATTTTTGAAGCGATTAGCAGAAACAGAAGTCAGATTCGGAATCAGTGTTCCAAGACGACTGTAATGGTATACATATCATCTTAAAAGCCCGCGGACACCGAGTATCGTTTCCTTGTTAGCATTACCAGGGCTGTTGCAGAAAGATCTGCTGTAGCAGATTTCTTGAGCTTTTTACATGTGAAATCTGGTCGTCTAGAAATTGTTACTGTATGTCTCGTTCCTTATATTTCTGCTTGACAGCTTGACTGAATTCAATTACACCTTCCTCTATAAACGGGTAAAAAAAGTAGATCGCGAGAGGAACTCTGCCCCTTCGATATCAAAGAGCTATCGAACGATATATACTAGTGAGAGTACCATGCTTTTTTAGTCCTGCGACGGTGGGTGAGACGCAGCAATGGAGCGTCAATTGGAACCGTCCAAAACCGATTTTTTTGCAACTCTTGCGTAATAAACGAAAATCAACAGGAAGCTCTATTTAAAATCTACTATCAAAGAGCTATCGAACGATATATACTACTGGGAGTACCATGCTTTTTTAGTCCAGCGACGGTGGGTGAGACGCAGCAGTTGCGCAATCTCAGCCCCGCACACTTCAATGCATTCGGAATGCGGAATATGGCTGAGTTCCATTTGACGCTCCATATTTCGGTGAGGGGGTCTCTTGTAATCTACTCTTTTCACCATCTTAAAAAGGAAGAGGCATTACCTAAGCTGTCGCGAAAGGATCTGCTATAAGGAAGGACATACAGTAACTATTTCGAGACGATCACATTTCAAATGTAAAATTAAAACTCATGAAAATCTGCTACAGCAGATCCTATTGCGACAGCCCTGGTATATCAAGCTCTCCTCTTCAAAACCAAAAAATCAAACTACAAAGAACCCCTCACCGGACAAGGAGCTTTTTGGTCAACGCCTATTAACACTGCCTTGAATGTGCACAAAATCACACTTCATAGCTTATCCTAAGCCACTATGATCACAACCAAGCAATGCCTCCTTCCAACTATCGTCTACACGCTCAAGTCAAAGCTCCACTCTAGCCATCTGTTTTATGACCATAAGCCCGTCCACACCAATCCCTAAACTGCTCGTTCCATGAACTCCATGAAATTGGGATTCCTAACATGTACTCTCGCACACTGTCCTCTCACCTCAAAAAATCTTTTTCACTCTGTCCCAAGTGAAGAGAGGGGAGGGAGGTAACTTAGGCTTCAAAGTGAGAGGGATATTCAGCTCACCCAATCGCAACAATGGAAGAGATGAAAATAACCAACAAATTATAGATAGAAGAAAAAACAAAGCAATAGCGCTAAAAGCATGTGTCTGAAAAGCGAAGAATAAAAACTGCAACTATTACGAAGGAGATCCACTACATGGGAAAATTGAGCGGATACCAAAATAATTTGAAAAACTAGAGCAGTTTATGCACGACTGTAAGCGAAACCGCATAGGATTTTGAACAACGAAAAACAACTATAAAAAATCTTGAAACTAACGTTGGACGGCAAAGATCAACAATGTTCTTCATAGCTGCGGTAGGGTTGCATGAAACAAAAACCAAGCGTCGCATTTTATCCATCTGTAAAAATATATCGTCTTCGCAAAGTCAGGGTCTCCGAAGCGTAAACTCAAATCGTGTCTGTGATTAAGAAAAGGAAATCGGCGAACGTAACAAACATATATAAATCTCAAAAATGACGTACCGTACGGCAACCGTGTACAACTTTCTCATGGACTCCACACCGTGGGGGATCCAGAACTCCAACAACGTTAGATTCTTGCAAGTCGAAATCAGGAGGAATATGAAAACGTAATGAAGAAAAAACATCCTCCGCTTTTCCAGCAATGTAGCGACACCTAAAATTTTTAACCAAAATGGTCGAAAGCTATTATGAGATCGTCTCTAGATTCTTTCATCTCGGAAATATGTGAAAATGAGCAGACTGACATATTTTCATTCATCCCATTGCCCACAGCGTTTTCCTTCGCATCTACAATGGCTGACTCAATTATATCGACTCCAATGCAGCAAACCTGATAATACGAATGGACCAACTAAAGTCATTGACGCTAATGCTCACCTTATTTTTCCTCCTATACTCTTGCAGGACACATTGGCCGACGGTTCCAGTACCGCAGCATATATCCAGCAAAATAGTTGAGCTCTTCACGACATCTGTCTGACTCTCAGCCTAGATAAGCGAATCAAATGTACACCCAGATAAGCATTACTGACCGGTGATTACCTCGAAAGTTTCCGTCGTGGTGATATCCTCATCTAACCTTGGTCGTTTGGCATTATGGTCACATTTCTGCACGTCACCATTAGCTCCAGCTACCAGCGACGATAAACCACATGCCTCTCCTATAAGACAAAGATACGAGTCTTTAACCATATAAACATACTATTTTGATGAATGTGGAGAACGTTTCTTTGGCCACAAGTTGAATTGGCATGCGGAAGCAACACAAGACAAAAACTAGGAAAGCGCAAAGCGCGAGCCTCCACTGCTGGATAATTGGCTCCAGTGCAAATCCCTTTACAAGCATGCAGTAGCAAAACTCTCTCCATCCATGCAAAAAAACATAAGATTTCTACCCTGCCCTCGAACGTACCTATAGTGGTATACAAAACTTGTGCAGCTTGACTATTTGTTTGAAAGAAAGCTGACGGCGAAACTCGGAACCGACAGCCCAATAAGGTTTCGTAGATGTACGGAGCCCCTAAAAAACGAAAAAAACTGCTCCTGCAGTTTCATGAAAAGAGGAATAGATATGACCAACCACCAATGTGCTCGTATTCAACCTGATCACTGCAATTGGCAATCGAATGCCAGTACAATGATGTCACCCGAAATTTCTGTTCCGAAAAGTTGGATGGGTTGAGAAATCTAAATAAACTTCTTTTACAGAAAAGTGGGAACAGCGGTAACTAACTTCGAACAAAACTCCTTCTTTAGCAGCTCCTCCTTTACTTTGTCTTCTAATGGGTTGACCGTCATAATGAGCATAACATCACCTCCAAATTCGCGCACGGTAAGCATTTTCCACACTCCCACGCGTGCAAATTCGTCAAACGGCGGCAAACCTATCAATTGCCATTGAGCGCTGAAATTTCGCACTGCGCTGGTCCAGCAAAGACCAAACCGCGATCGCTTTCTGATGTACCTGATGTCTGAACAAATTCCGCCACTGCTGCAACAATCCTTTTCGTGGTCGGGGTGATATTGTCCAGATCGTCGATTGGAATGATGTGATGCTCATTGTTAGAAAATCTGCCGCCAACAAATCCTACACATACCTGTGCGGAATATGGTCATCAATCAAAAGACTATAATTATGGAAAGCAATTAAAGATGGTGACAGAGATGATAAGAAGCTCTAAAGACTCACCTTTCCTTCATGCGTCAGACCAATCGTGAATTCACATTTGTTTCGGTAAGCCCTTATCTTTGGTGATGGCAACACCTAAACAAAACCAAACATTACTACGGATGAGTCTCAATGAAGAAAGTGATAAAGCGCCAACTCAACACTTGAACAATTGAGGGGTGTTTTTCTTGCCCACAACAGACAATCTCATTGATTATTTTGAATGATTGCTGAAGCGCAGAAAGCGAAGTATTGACAGATATACACGCTAATCACATCACACGCGGAGTAATAAGGAATCACTACCATGGGCAGAAAACTGTAAGGTATAGAAAGTTCCTAGATATGTGTATTAACACATCAAAAGACAGAAGTAATCCTGCAGTTTCCCATAATCTCAGAAAGTTGATTGATTACAAATTACTCCCCTATTCAGACGCTTCCAGACATTGAAAAATTTAAGCAGATTACGTCACCGGCACCAAACCAAGGTATAATAGAATCGAATCATCTTATATACAAAGCTGAATGTCTGTTTATATATATGTCTGTATGTCTGTATGTACGTATGTTCCGAATAGAAAATTCCATTTCTGAACCGATCGGGAGTAGCCTATGACACCCGCCGGGGCCCGAAGTGTATGTGTGCCAAGTTTGGTCCCGATCGGTTGAGAAATGGAATTTTCTATTCAACATACGGCGGAGCCGGGGTAAGCCAGCTAGCGTACAATATAGAGGAGCAAAGCTTTGTAAGAACCGACTCTGGAAAATGTTGTATACTTCGAAAACAAGCTGGATTTTCGCCAAGTTTAGTAAATAAGGCATTTTACTAGCTTAGAAGAATCCCACGGGTTATGTCGAGCTTCTGAAAATGCATCCCCATATGTTTTTGTAACGATGATGATACTAACGAAGTAGCATTAACATTACCGTGATTCTATGATTTATAATGAAAAACAAAGTGAATAAAAAATAAGATTTTTTCAGAGAATAAATGTTGTATATGTGAGTGAAAGGAATTGAAAGAGAGTGTGAAAAAGGACGCCGTTGATGTAAAACTTTGCTTCCTGACATTGTTGTCAAGAAGTATAGCACACCAACAGCGTTATGGAAAGCAATGTATTAGGTTGTAAAGAAAGTTCTGCCGATAAAAGATGAGCTAAATTGTTTTCTTTCTATCTTAAATATGAGTGGCTGTCAATCAGCGATATTTTTGTCATGTGTACTGAAAAGCTTAGACTACTGTTTATGTATATCATGGATGTTTTTCTTCAAGACGGGCGCTGGCTGCGTTTCGAAACAGCTAGAGAATTCGTTCTTTTGAACCTTGGAATCCATGAGTTAATTCTTGCTTGAAAAAAGGTCCAAACACCGGAGCAAGCTATAGTCGGATATGGCTTCATCTGACAATACAAAGGGTATAAAACGGATTTTGGAATCGAGCTCCTGCAAGTTCTGCTGTCTACAATTGAAAAATAAGCCTTTCGCAGACCCAAGCATAACGCGAATTTTCCTCCTTTTTTAAGTATTTTTTGATTTATCGTAATTTTCTAAAGCTGAATAGCGTATCTGGCAGCTGAGGCCATCGCACACTAGAAACACACCTCAATCCAGCCTCTTGCATTCGCGTTCATTTTTGGAATCTATGAGAAGAATAGGCAAAACGTTCTATACGACCTAATATTTTTATTATTACTTGTGGCGGATGGTTGGAGAGCACAACATTTAGCGAAACATCTGTTAGAGAATCAAACAAGCAAATATAGGGAATTTTGTGTGATGAGTTTTCGTTGCTAGCGCAACAATCACACAAATTCCAGTGCCCGCAAAAGAAGAGCACAGAAATTTTCAAAAAAAAAACTGAAATATATGATAACGCTTTGATTTACAACAAGTTCCCAAGTGAATTTGCCTCTGGTGCGTAAACTGACCTTTTTCACAAGTTCAGAAGACTTCAGACTGGACGCGCTGTCAACGTTAGCTTTCTTCAGTTCGACAAGAAGCCTTTCACATACCCTGAATTATAACGAATTAGGACCTTCTAACACTCACTTGAATTAATCTGACCTAAAGGACTCCTTTGCCTTTTGCTGCAGCTGCTCCGGATAAGGTACATCAGCAAGCTTCGTTACGCTCTCTCTCGCAGTTTTTGGTTTGATCTGTTGCGTACTTGGATCGAACGACGTCTAAAACCGCTTCGATAACAGTTTTTGACATAAAATTAGATAATCACCTTCGTCTCAGTCTGTGCCAATTGCACTTTCAAAACCGTCTTCTTCACCTCCAAACCGTTAAGTTTTGAAATCGCTGACTGCGCGTCCTCGGGAGTTTTAAAACTGACGTAGGCATCAAACTTCATTTGCCGAACTTTCTTTATTTCTATCCCCTTCAGATGCCTGAAACCATCTAGACTAAAAATCTTCGATGAAAGTACTCAAGTCTCACAAACTTTTCCAGCAACTTCTTGAATTGTTTGAAACCAAAATACTTCGGCACTGGAGAGATATGAATCCTGTCCAAATCCAGAGAATCCTCGATTGCCGGAGAAATGTCGCCCCTGACGCTAATCTCCTTGTCAGTATCATCCACAACCATACTTTCGCAGTCTTTTCCGTTAGATATAGTAGCCATACCTAAGAAGAAAAGCTCTTTTAAATAAAAACCCGAACCCCAAGAAACTTGGCGTAATGATTTCTGCAAAAGGCAAAGAATAGTTTATGAGAACGCAGAGCATAGAATGAGGCGTTGAACGAATTGTAGTATCCGTGAGGCAAATATTGATGGTTGAAATGACGCCAATTATGCTGCACTAACACTTTGGGGCAGTTTTTGTGGAAGCAGTTTTCGTAGGGAGTAAATTGCTGGGATTTTGCACTCTGTGTTATCTGACATCCTGACGGCAAAAATGGCTTCTATCCCGCAAGATGTCGGGGAAGATTCGGTGACGATTGGGATGACCTACATGAGTTCTGGAAAAGTTTTCCAGGTGTAAACAAGTAGTTCTGAGGTAACTTCTATGCAGTAATACTACTAATGGTCTGGTTATCATATAGCCAGGGCATCGCCGCATGTGTTCAGGAGTTTAGATGGCGAATATGGGTATCCACTTCCATTTCTGATATTTTAGTTAATGCTGATCATGTTTTTACAAGAAGGCGAAACTCTGTACAGCTGTTTTCTGGGACCAAGGATTAATCAGGCAAAAACAACTGGTAATATAATCCTTTTCTTAAATAAGCCCAGATGCAGCTATTGGTTTGTTGGAGGGGAAGGGATGCAACAACCTTGATATCTTGATATATCCTGAGATCCTGGTAAGGCTCTGTGATATACATGTATTCATCGGAAAAGTTCGCATATTGTTTAAACGAGCGTCAGAAAGACTCCCACATAATGTTTTCGTGCATACGCGCGTATGCATGGGCAAATGCGTGAAGGACGTTAGTGGGAGTTTCGTCCAAAATGGCGCGGTCGCCAATGTGTTAAACGAGCGTCAGAAATACTCCCACATAATGATTTTGTGCATATGCGCGTATGCATGGGCCAAATGCTTCCGCCCAAAATGGCTCGCTCGTCATTAAAACATTGACGACAATACGACCCACCGGTGTGTCGTACGTGTCCTGCCATTTCGGACAATACGACCCACCGGTGGGTCGTAAGATTCATGAAGCGCTATCTTTGCCAGTTTACGACGGACTACGGGGTTCTAGCACATGATTGGGGGCACTTAGGTGAAGCTCCATCCAGAGTAGTCCGGGCTCGGGATACTGTAATGTAATGTTACGGTTGGTATACGGTAGATATATTAGGTTGGCTCGAAAGTTCTGGGACATTTTCGAACTAGATCTGCTATTTCTCGAAACTTAACGCATATGCATCAGGTAGAAGCACCATTCGATAAAGCAAAGCAAGCTCTACAAGATGGTATGCAAAAGTTCGCACCAGCTTCGACCCACCGTAAGTTTGCACCCAAAATCTGAGTCGTACTAAAATTCAAAAAATCGCGAAAAATTCATATCTCTGTTCAAACAAATCCTACGGGTCTCCAACTTGCTCACAAAAATTGCACACTACATCAAGCACTCATTTGCACCGTTGCTGTGTTTTTTCCTCATCTATAAATCGAGAAAATGAAAATTTTCTCGTTTTCACAAAAACGAAGCTATGCTGTTCCCACTCATGTAATTATATAGTACAAGCCCTTAGAATTATAATCGTAATTTTTCAGCCTTCTACAGGCTCTAGTTCCCGAAAATTACCGAATTGAGCTCTCCTCACTCGGGCGTTTGGTGCTAAAATCAATATTTTTCGACAACTAGGGCTTACGGAAAGCTGAAAAATTACGGTTATACTTCTAAGGGATTGTACTATATAATTACATGAGTGGGAACAGCATAGCTTCGTTTTTGTGAAAACAAAAATTTTTTCATTTTCTCGATTTATAGATGAGGAAAAAACACACCAACGGTGCATATGAGTGTCTGATGTAGTGTGCAATTTTTGTGAGCAAGTTGGAGACCCGTAGAATTTGTTTGAACAAAGATATGAATTTTTCGCGATTTTTTGAATTTTAGTACGACTCAGATTTTGGGTGCAAACTTACGGTGGGTCGAAGCTGGTGCGAACTTTTGCATACCATCTTGTAGAGCTTGCTTTGCTCTATCGAATGGTGCCTCTACCTGATGCATATGCGTTAAGTTTCGAGAATTAGCAGATCTAGTTCGAAAATGTCCCAGAACTTTCGAGCCAACCTAATATATAAGGCACAAGCTTTAGCTCAAATTCTTCGCAAAATGACGCTGTTTCTGGAGAATCAAGTTCACATGTAAGAGTAATACGGGGCGGGCAAGAGGCTGACGGTAACCCACCAAAAAATTATCGATTTTATTGATTTTGTTGTTTTTTTGCAGTTTTCATCCTAGGAAGCTCGAACTTTGCATATACAGGTTTTGTAGCGTGCTGATTACGAAAATGATAGTCTCAAGTTTTGATACCACCTTCTAACATCAGTTTCTTGATTTCTACGAAAATTCGACCGTACTGCTACCGTAGTCTCACCGTGAGAATGGCACTATAATCGTAATGAGCACGTGAAATAACCCCAATACACGAATTTTCATGAAAGTCCATGATGTTGGGTTCGTACAGAATGACTACCGTAACCCTACCGTATAACGCCAAAAACTGAAATAAATCATATTTTGGCAATCAGCGCGTTCGATAACCCTTGTGGGGAAATTCTCGGAGACATATTCTGAACTTCTTCCAAAAATACTACCATTTCGGACAATACGACCCACGGGTGGGTCGTAAGTTTGGCAGAGCAAAAAAGGCTCCTGTCCGAAATGGCAGTAATCCGAAAATCGGCCTTGTCGTCAATGTGTTAACCGAGTGAGACTTTTGGGGCGTGGCAACCGCAAGAACTTCGGCGAGCATTTCAAAAGATTTTTTCGAAGGCTAGAGAACTCTACGCGCCGTCATTCGAAAAGAATTCCGTCACGCGTCTGACTTCTGGGACCGCCGCTAGTGAGGCCCTAGGAGAAGCTGCGGCAAGAAGGCGAGTATCTTGTGCTACAAATTCACTGGCCAATAATGGCAAAATAGCTATGGCTATGAGTTGAAACCGCTTTGATTTACTGCAACTGGTTGCAACAAGAGAAATGCAAGCAGCGCCAGCGGTGCTGCAACAGGGTTTTGTTCAATGCGCGAAAAGAGCAGTAAGGCCTAAGGCATACCTCGCGCGATTCCTGTCGCTGCGCGATTTGGCACAACAGCGACTCTCTGTAGCTCGTCGTTAATGCGTTTCCTTTGGTCAGAACTTAAGCCAATTGCAACAACTTACACAAGCTATCCGCCTATGCATTCGAGAAGCGCGCACGATAAATTTGTAGAAATCTGGCAAATCGCCAAGTCGCATGAAAGTGGCGATTTGGTCAAATCGCCGCATCCGCGCAACTTGGCAGTTTGCCAGATATTTACAAGTCAACCGTGCGCGGATTCTAAATGCATAGGCACGTAGCTTCCCTAAGTTATAGCAAGAGCGCTAAGTCTGGCCCATGCAAAGCGCGCTTACGACCAGTCATGAAGAGTCGTTGCAGTGCCAGATCGCGCAGCGACTGGAATCTCGTGAGGTGTGCCTTAAAGGCAGTGGACAGGCAGAATGGACCTCTGTCAGATTTTGGTAGTTTCGGGTAGTAGACCCTCCAATTACATCATAGCCCCAAGCCCACCTTCCAATTCATGCGCTAAGTCTTGAAAAAAGCGCTTCAAAACTCCACCAGCCCCGCCCACTTCCATTGAGTGGGCGTTATTGGTGGAATTTCGAAGCGCTTTTTCAGGACTTAGCGCATGGATTGGAAGGTGAGCTTGGGGCTATGATGTACTTGGGGGGTCTACTACCCGAAACTACCAAAATCTGACAGGGGTCCATTCTGCCTGTCCACTGCCTTCAAGGGCCGGGTATACTTCACGCGATTTCAGTCGCGAGGCGATTTGGCAGTATTCCAATTGTCTATAACTCACTATAAACAAATTTTGGATGTACATAAGAAAAGGGATTTTATCAATCCGCGTAGGTTATACACACCATGCATGTGCAGCTTGTTAGTGTTGGATCTGAAGACTTTTGGCTAATTGCCAGATCGCGTCGCGATTGATCGCGTGAAGTATGCCCGGCCCTTTAGGCCTTAGGCTTAAAGGCAGCGTACACCCAAAATTTCGCCTTCGATGTTTTTGTCATTCTGGAGCCTTTCCGTGCCCTGATTACAGTTATGACATTAAAATTCTTCAAAAGTCTCAAAAAATCCCGATTTCCAGGAACCCTCACTTCAGGGGCGGACAAGTTTCAAACTGCTCGTCGCCGTCGGCATGCCAGCAGCTGCAACAGCATGGCAGCCTGCAGTTGCAACTGCAACTGCTACATATGCTGTCGTGGTTCGTCGCCCGAAGAAGGCACACCACAAAAAGCAACTGCACTGTTGCAACTGCAGTTGCAGATGCAACGGCAGTTGCAGCAGTAACTGCAACTGCAACTGCAGCTTACGCTGTCGTGGATTCGTCCGAAGGAGGCGGAGTGAAAAAAAATTGAGGGGGGTTTTCTCCGCTCAGAAGCAACATTGGGAGACCGGACCAACGCAGTTGGTCTTCTTCTGGGCCCAGTATATACACGTTATAGAAAGATCTAGAAAATCAAGTAACTCAAATTATGGGTGTACGCTGCCTTTAAGGGAGTTGTGAGTATCTGTCATCACTGCATTTATGAAGCAGTCATGCCTTTATTGTAGTACCATTACATACATGTGGTTTCGACTGCATCGATACACAAGTGAGGCTGCGCTACCCTTCTACCGCTTTTACTAAAGCCCAGCTAGAGACCAAAGTGACGATGGAGTTGCAGGGACGAGTGTTTGCTGCATTTATGAAGCGAACAGCTGTACTGTCTGCTGAAGTGCTGCACCTGCTGCTGGGAAAGCAATGAAATCCGCTATATCATTTGCATTCAACTAAGTAGCTGTTACGCTGCACAGATTTACGCTGCACAGATACAAAGAAAAAAGTAGAAATTAGACACCTCACTGGTTTATTCAGTCTTAGTGGTGTTGCAGCAACTGCAATAACGTTCAACAAGTTGTTCGCGATTAACATTTTGATGCGATACACTG